TGTCAAGGAAAATCACTGACTAGCAGCTAAACATGAATGCCAGAAACATATTCGTAATGGGAGCGTAAGGGAGAGGGCACAAGTGCCTGGCCACTCTGTCTGCTTACTCTGCATTTCGCCAGACTAAAAGATTTAGAGCTACTCAAGGTGCACATGGCAACACTCACCAGATCAGACGGACTAGGAAACCCAAAAGGCTTTCTTCCCAGTAACAACCAGAGTCTAGGACTTCCTTAAAAAGCCTGGGCAAAATGAATCCTTCGTCGGAAAAAATGAGAACAGGAATTGCCTCTGAGTCGGGTGGGTGATGACTACCAAGGAGCATGAGAGAACTTTCTGGAATGAGGAAAACATTCTGTATCTTGATAGGGGTGTAGGTTATACAGGGGTATGCATTTGTCAAAACTCACTGAATTAAAAAAGCTCATTACATAATACAAGATTTTTACATTTCACTGTATATATTTTTTAACTAAAAAGAATAACTAAAAAAAAGCCCGAAGGGGCAACCAGTGGGTGACAGGCCAGCCCTTCTTTTGAGCAGCTGTAGCATCATGGGGCCTTGGAGCTGGGAGAGGAGCCACCTTCAGAGGTAAGCACACAACACAACTCAGGCCAGGACTCCTTTGTCGCAAATTGAAAAGTACTTGGTTTTTTACCATACGGTTTCTTCAAAGAGCTCAAGGCAAGGGAGATATGCTTTGAAATCTCAGCCATCTTTTCTCCAGCTTTCAGAGTGCTAATTACAATGAGAACTGATTGTCACCAAAACACAGAACCTTACAATCTTTTTTATTATTATTTTTTTAATTGTTATTTGGGTGAAAGTTTACAGAGCAAATTAATTCATTCTCCACACAGCAGCTCATACACATTTTGTTTCATGACATTCACTGCAGTCCCCACAATGTAACAGCTCCTCCCACTTCCTCCCTGCAGTTACCTCTTCCTTGTGTCCTTCTTTCCTGTGCATTCCCGCCCCCTGAGCTATCTCCCTGCGCAGATACTGCCCTTATAGAACCTTACAATCGTAGTGGGGAAGAGGCTTTTAAGCTACTCTATAGTTCTGGGGTATAAATAGGGGAAAAAAGGTACAGAAAAGAACTTGATCGATTACAGGCAGTCCCCGGGTTAAAAGAGATCTGTTCCTAAGTGTATCTTTAAGTGTAATTGATAGGTAAATTGGAACATGTACATACGGTTCTCATTTAGTCTCACTTTACTGAAAGAAATGATTTAAAACAATTTTCAATGATTTCAAAACTGCATATGCACCACGTGAGCATGATTGTGATGAAGAATTTGCTGTGAGCAAGGATTGGTTCCATTTGTGCAAAATCAAACCAAACTCACTGCCATCAAGGTGATTCGACTCATAGCGATCCCTCCCTTGGGTTTCTGAGGCAGTATCTCTACAGATGTAGATTGCCCGATGTTACTTCTGAGGAGTGGCAGGTGGGTCTGAACACTGAAGGGCAAGCAGAAGTAGCCCGGGGACTGATATCGCGTGCTGCCAAGGACTCTCCTCCGGCTTCACCTCAATGACCCTAATGCTAAACACTCCGACCCCACGCCCAAGAAAAAGATTTTGTCCATCTTGGATTTTATCTACCCAACTTCACCCACTTCAAGGAGGCAAGAGAGCGTAGCAGTTGAAAAAGGAACCACTTGCAACTAACTTGCTTCTTTTTATGAGTTTATATTTAGACTTGTTGCCTTAGGAAGCCTTCCCAGAAGTAGAATTAGTAAATCAACTGCTCTGAACTTTGTAAATGCTTCCATTAGTTCATTTAACCTTTACTGGGTGTTTATGGAGCAGCAAGCCCTGTGTTCAGATCAAGAACTAAAAGAGGAACAAAATGTGGCTTTGGTCCCTGCCTTCAAGGGGTTCACAGTAAAGAGGCAGCACGTGCCACACTCCTTTCCCATAGAGCGGTACCAATTTCTATTTCATCCTTAATGTATAGTCCACATTTTACCATATCAACACTGTTACGATGCGAACAAACAAAGCAAACAAAAATCTGGCCCATCAGTAGATAAAAATTGAAATCTTGTTTTAGTTTGAATTAATGTCTACTTGATTAGTTGTACCTCCTCTTTTATGAATTACTACTTCATGTTCTTGCTCACATTTTACTGAAATGTTGCTTTATTTCTTACTGATTTTTATGCTTTCTTTATAGAGCAAAGACATGAGCCCACTGTCAGTACACATTGCCATGCCTTTTCCTAGTTTGTTACTTAAATCTATTTTTTTCCATATTTAGAATGGCTTTCATTAAAATGTACTTTAGAGTTACGCCATTTTGCCTATTATCAAGAGATGTTATAAGAAACTGCTCAATGACCTGTTCATTCAGTTACTGAAAGGAGACATATATACACACACATACATATAATTATTTTTTAATTGTGATTTGCGTGAAAGTTTACAAAGCAAATTCATTTTCCATACAACAATTCATTCACATTTTGTTTCATGACATCGTCTGCAATCCCTATAATGTAACCACTTTCTTCCTACTTCCTCCCTGTGGTTATCTCTTCCCTGTGATTAGTTCTTATTTTTTGATGCGTACCTATAAGATGTTTCTATCATGTCTCAAAGTAAAAGTATTAAGAAGAAAAAAACAACAACATACACACACAATGAAAAGTCCCACCAAACATGGTGGGAACAAATTATTAGTGCTCTAATATTAAAGAAATAAGGGACATAGTCTCACTTTCAAGGAGTTGACAAGCTAGTGGGCAAGAGACAAGGACACCCAGAATGACCAAGTACATTAAGTGCTCTGATGAAGAAATGCGCTACGGACAAACACGGGAAAGACATCTAACTCAGACTGTAGGTAGGGGGGCTCGGGATGGTTTCTGGGGAATAGGATGCTGAGTCCCTGAGGCAAGACAGCCTAACAGGTGGAGAGAGGCCGAGGCGGTCCAAGTGACAGAAACAATCTCAGAGCTTGAGCTAAGGAGTTCAAACCTGAGCCGGAAGACCATGGCGAGCTCACTGAGGTTTTGAAATGGGATTTAAATGATATGATCAAATCTGCATTTGAGAAAGAACAGTCTGGTCGTGGTGTGCGGAACAGAGCGACAGGGGATGAGGAATGGACCCAGGAGCCCCGGCCAGGAGGTCAGAAGTTCAGAAGGGCTGAGGGCCTGGGTCATTTAGCACATTTTTGAACATACAGTTTCCAGCTCACTATATTTTCTAAATTGTTAATATGTAGGAAAGCTATGAATATTTGCCAAACTCAATAAATTTAAGTCCTTGAATTCAGATATTTAGAAGTTTTTCATATTATCAAATAAACATAATTTAGTCTCTTTTCAAATATTTTAGTCTCTTCAAATATTTATATTTCATTTCTTACTGTATTGGCCAGAACAATATTGTTTAAAAATAATTACACAAACTATATGATTTTAGGCTATAAATTGAAAAGCGGCCCAAGGAAACAAAACAGAAAATTATTTAAGCTCTTTAAGAACTTCATATTACAAGCCAGAAGCCACATAACAATGGTGAAAGGATCTGCTATTTCAGACATGATGTTGGGATAGCTGGGTATCCACCTGCTCTCAGTCCATAGCAATATGAATTGCTTCCTACCACATGGCTGCTATCCCGTTCAGATGGGCCACACAATTACATGTAAAAGAAAAAAAAAAAAAGAGAGAGAGAGGAAAATGGAATAGCATATTTATTCCAGCTGTAGAAGGAAGATAAATTTCTGACTATTATGGAAATAAAGGATATCATAAGAGACAAACAGGATAGGCACAAGTATGTAAAAATAAAATAGCCTTGCCCAATCAAATGTAAAAAGGGACAGTAATAGAAGAGGGAATAAAATAACTGATAAAAGCTTACTACCCAATATAGATTAAAAAATTATTACTACCTGCTATATATTAATATATATATATATATGAAGTCAATAGCCATATCCCTCTTAATAAATGATCAAAAGAGATGAATAATTTTTATGTAACAGAAAAAGAAATAGTAAATTATCACTTGGAACTCTGCACAGCCTTTCCAGAAAAGAAGGAAATGTAAATTACAAACAACTTTAAGGAATCATATACTTGTTTCATTAAGAAATTTACAAAAAAAAAGCTAGAACGTGGTATAAAACCAAACCAAACTCACTGCCATTGAGTCGATTCTGACTCATAGTGATCCCCTTTGTGTTTCTGAGGTGGTAAATCCTTACAGAGGTGGATTGCCCTGTCTTGCTTCCGTGGAGTGGCTGGTGGGTTTGAACCACCAACCTTCTGGTTAGCAGTCAAATGTCTTAGGCACTACGCCACCAGAGCTCCTTAGAACACAGTATAGAGAAATGTTTATTTATATCTTATGGTATCACTGTCAGCTGGTCCAGGCTGTCTGGTAAACCATCTAATAAATGGAACAAGAGCTGTTATGCATGCATGCATGTACATGTGCACACACATGCACACACGCTGACATTCTAAGCCCACTTTGAGGGACATATCCCAAAAAGAGGAAACAGCCATTTTTTTAAAGATATTCAGAGAAGAACTATTCCAAACAGGAAATAATGAAAAGAACCCAAGAGCTTAATAAAAGTAAAGAGGTTAAGCACACTACAGGATAGCAACAAGATGCAGCATACAGCTTTTAAAACCACACAGAGGATGTAAATAACTGAAAGTTAAAAGGCAGGAACACAAAGCCATGCTTTACAAACATGTATATATGTATGTGAATTAACAAGGATAAAGAAAAAGTGAATGCTTTCCTATACTCCCAGCTTATTTAGGTCCAACTGCTTTGGGGCTACCCAGAAGCCAACTTAACACTGCTCAACTGACTGCACAAACGTCATCTTCCTCTTTTAACATAACATAAGCCAGTAGACACCTTCAGACTCCAGGAAGTATCATCATAGGAATGTATGTCCCATTTTATAACTCAGGTTTCTGGAAAGAAAAGCAACTGCTGAACTGTCCAATGGGCTTACCGTGAGTGTGGCCAGTGACATGAAGCCGATCAGGTTATTCCACACTTTATCAATGTCCTTCAGCAGCTGCTGGAGTTTCTCACTGCACACCGCAGTAGCCTTTATCCCCAGCTCCACACGTTTGGTCACCCTGTACACCTCAACGACACCTGACAGAGTAAGAGGATAGAGTTAGGTACTGAAAGTGCAAAGAATGAGATAAGCAAGACAACAAGGCTGCATTTTTAGTTGCTGGTATCTGTGCTGGAATTAAAAAGCCTGTGTGGACAGAACTGACCTTACTATTCCTTGGCACCAACCCACCCCTCAGCACTGCTGTTTAGCTGACTGGTGAAGCAGAGAGTCCGGAGCTGCGCTGCACTAAGCCCACAACTGCCAAGTCGATTCTGACTCACAGCAACCCTAGAGGACAGAGTAGAATGGTTTCTAAGGCTGTAAATCTTTATGGGAGCAGACTGCCACATCTTTCTGCTGCAGAGCCGCTGGTGGTTTCAAATCACCAACTTTCTGGTTAGTGGTAGAGCACTTTAACCACTGTGCCACTAGGATTCCATGGAGGCATATTACTTGGGTTCAAATCCCAGCTCTGCCACTTATTAGCTATGTGTCCTTGGGCAAGCTACTTAAACCTTCAGTGCCTCAGTTTTCTCATCTATAAAACTGGGCTAGTAATAGTAATTCCTCAAAAGGTTACTGAGAAGATTAAATGAGTTAATACACACAAATGGCTTAGAATGGTGCCAGAGAACAGCAAGCCTTGTGTAAGTATTAGCTTTTTCTCCCTCCCACCCCTGACTTCTTACAAGCTGATCTGTTTGAATTTGGGAAATCCCATTAACCTGGCTGAAAACGAGAATATTGAAAGTTCAAAAGAAATCTAAATGTCAGCATCATCATAGTAATTAAGAAATATTTCATCCTCTGGAATTTCCAATGAGTTATAAATTAGTGGCTTCAAGTACCTTTATACAGGACATGGGGTGCAGACTGGCTCTTATCCTGTGATCTCTGAATTGTGACTCAACTTTTCAAGCTAGGATGATAGAGGCCAATACCACCACATTCTAAAGAAAGCCACCAGGCACACCCCTACCTCTCCAACCCCCTGCCCAGCCTTTAAAAAGAAGGCTGGTGGAATTATAGGGGTCTTCAGTTGCTATTATGTATGTCATCAGCCATGTATAGCACTGACTTTTTCTTCTTCCTTCCCAGGGGAAGGGTAGGGGCTTTTGCGCACCGTACGCCAAGTGGGAGCTTCTAACCAAATCTCACACAAAGACTAGGAAAGCTACCAGAAGGGAAGACCGGGTTCCCCATTTTTTTAATGGATTTCTGCTTATGCAGTACAGTTGGGCTTGTCTGAGCAGTCAAAGAGGAACTAGAGTGAGGTGGCAGAGTAAAGGAGAATATTGAGACTTAAACTTATTCAAGCATTCAGCAAGTATTTTTGAATGCCTACTATGTGCTAGGTACCACTCTTGGTGTTGAGGACACAGCAGTGAAGAAAACAGACCAAAATCTCTGCTTCCTTGGATCTTCACTCCAGTGGAGGGAGAGAGACTACAAACCAGAAGGAATAGTAAAATACAAGTAAAAGTAAGGACTAAGGAAAAAACTAAGCAGGGAAGGGGACAAGAAGTATCAAGGGGTGGGGAGAGGAGATACAGTTTTGAGAAAGGGAAGGCTAGGGAAGGCCTCACCAGGAACGTAATATCCAAGTAAAAATCTTAAAAAAGATTAGGGCTCAGCACACAAGGCCACAGTCAAACCCAAGCTTGAGGAGGGCTGGGATACTGAATTGAACAGAGACTGAGATTTTAAATTGGATTGGGATGTTGGATAGCAGAAGGTGGCCAAGGAGCGAGGGAACCTGTGATATTATTAACAGGTAGAAAGAAAGAATCCACAGAGCACGGTAAGGCAGTTACTGGAGACAAAATAATTTCATTTTTATGTCTCACCTACTTCAGTCTCTTTGATAAACTAGTAACACAGATGTAATTTTATATTGTTGCTATTATGTGTATAACAAGGACTAGGAAACTTACCCATAGAGACCTTAAGTCAAATAGTTGTTGTTACTGCCTGTGACTTAAATATCTGATCTACAAATTCAGATGCCACTAAGCGAGGCCATCTGTGGCTTCAGCAATCTACTGTAAGGGGAAATTGGAAAGAATGCAAAGTACCATGATTCGAAGTAAGTAAAATATAAAAGAACATACATACCTAATAAATATTCCATGCCTTGAGCTGACTGAATTACTTCTGTGCAAACAGAACTACTACTGATCCCATTTAAGGTATCATTTGCCTTCTTTATGACCTATAACGAATGAAATCACATCGCCTTATATAATTGAGAAAAGTCATTGCAAATCAATTTACTATTAGTAGAAAATCTACCAAAAAGTCAAGAAGCGTGTAAAAGCATGAGTAACTGACATATGTATATGACTACGCTGAAACAAATCTGTGCATTTAATTTTAACCTTGGAAAAAACCTCTCTTTCTCTGGAAGATAGAAGACAGAGATTCCCTAGCTTAAATTTTATTTTAACTTAGGCAGAGTTAATGATGTCATTTTTGGTTATTTCATAAACACAGCGACAGCTGGGTCAGAGCCTGCTATTACATATGTGAGAGAAGCCCTCATTTAAGATGTGTGGCTTTTCACAGTTTGAGGTGGCACCTTAAGGCCCTCACGGTAAGGCTCTCCTCAAGTTGCTCCATCCATTCAGCTGAACCAAGGAGAAGATAAAATGGCATCAGGAGCACTTGCATAGCTGTGAACACCACAAAAGTGACATACTCACATCTAGGGCACTCCCCAGGCATCTCTGCCATTCATATGCATATCTCTCATTCTCCTGCGAATTTGGGGAAAAAAAACCAAACAACTGGTTAAACAGCATGCCTGAAATCCTCTATTTATGACTTCTGTCAATTCAAAGACCACTGAAGACTCTGCATTTATTAAAGTTGTTTTAGCTTGACCCCAGTTTATCTCTCTGAACTACTATTTTAAATTACTAATAAATACAACTTCAGAACACACGACCTGTAAATCCGAGGGAAATGTTTTATGGCACTTTCCCTCTCTAAACGTTGCCTCACTTCTTCCAGAACAGTGTAAACCTTTCTTCAAAGGAACTCACCATGTAGGTGTCTAGCACAAGAGTCAACATCAAATCACTGGCTTTCTGCTCCACAGTAATGATGCCGTGTGCGTGCACACACATGTGACAAAGAATGGGGGAAGGGGGAGAGTTACCGGTGTCGGCTACAGGAGGAAGCCAGGCTGGGACTAAGATGAAGTAAATGCAAATAGAAGATCTAGAACAAGTTCTCACTTTCCAGGTTTTAACACTCACTAAGATGGTAAAATCTAAATGCTCTGAAAGAATTCCCCAAACACTTCTCTCCCCAGAAAGTCCCATGAAAAGTTTCAGGTTTAGGGTCAAGAACTACTTTCAGTAGCTGCCACACCCGGGAAGTATTTTCATCTAAGACTAATGTCATCACTCTCTCACTTTACACATCTTTATGCCTGGCGTCATGTCACCACTGTCCTTCGTTTCCCATGTGAAAGCTGAAGGTCTTTTTCTGCGGCCTTCCATGCCGTTGATCTGGCTCCTGTAGAAGGCCGTCCTACTCACCTCCACCTCTCCTGTCAGATCTTTGTACTTGTCACGGATGACAGGCAGAGCCGGCTTCTCACTCAGAGTGTTGGAACGGTCCCGGAAAGGCTGTTCCAACGCTGGAGAAGGGGAGGGGCGGCTTATTTCTTTATCACCAAGGCTCAAACTCCTCTTGTGAGATCCTGGAAGTGGAAGGTTTGTGTTACTCAGCTTAGTTCAAGCAGAGGCTCTTCCCTACTAACGTGACTCTTCTTCAGGTGTCTATGTCTGTCACAAGGCACTCAGACACACAATCCTCATTCACTCTGCCTGGGAAGCTACACACTGGATCCTTTCATCCTTTTCTCTTGCTTGGCTTCCCTGCCTTTAATTTTCTCTATTGCTCTACTCTGATCTACCAGGATCCTTCCTTATTTCTAAGTGCAGAATCACTGGAGTCTGGAGGACAAAAACAACTTTCCATATCAATGTATAAAACTTGTGTTGCTTTTCCAGTCATTAGTTTGAATCTGTACTGAGCTCCTAAATACTCTTTCAATCTAATTGTGATCAACGATTCCTTCAGTCAGGATGGGTTTAAAGCAGAAGAGGCAAACTCAAATGGTACAGAGACCAGGCAAATAAAGGAAATGACTGAAGTAGGTCAATTGAAGATAAGGGAGTGGGAGGAATTGTGGCAAATTAGGGAGAGTTTGCCCCATCTAAAGAAGGCATTTTTACACAGCCCCACAAGTCAAGAGGGGAGAATGTAGGCCTAGTATTGACAAATATGATGACTTTTCAAATAAAGCTAGACATTCAGATTATGAAATCTCTTAGGATTTTTAAATAATGACAATTGCTTCAAACTTAAAAACAACAACAACAAAAATAAGCCCGGCAGTAATAAGACTTACATACAGGGCGATGCACCCACCTACTCCACAGAGATACACCCCTTGGAGCAATCGGCCATGGGGACCAGAGGGGCAGCATTCACATGGAGGAAAAGCTGGACAGACGGGTGCGTAACTAAGAAGGGCACAGGGATGCGGGAGTCACTAGGAAGGGAGAGTGGGTTAGGGCTGGGGATGGTAATTGGGGAGTGAAACCAAATGTACACAAACTATTGAATGTAAAACAAAATCTGCTCTGTAAATTTGTACCTAAAGCACGCCAAAAAAATTTTTTTAATAAATAAAAGTAGTATTTAATATTTGGTAAAGAAAGTACATTTTAAATCTGAAAAATACTGAGTTTAGAGCCTAAAATTATACTTAAATAACTTAGGACAAATTGTATTAATATTAAGTAATATTAATATTATACATATATGATATTAAATAGCAACATATTGCCTGAAAATATTCACCAGGATTAAAGAGAATCAAGCTCCTTAATAACTCAAAGTAACTGAATAAACTCACATTGGCACACTGTACTTACATTTTAATTACACTATGAGAAGCTTTTAAAATTTATTATTCATAGAGCACTAAAAGTTAGGAGCATTTTTTTATCAAATAAAATGTAATTCTGGAGAATTATATACATATTACACCTAGATATATCTTATTTACCTAAACAAAAAAAGAATTTTTTTAAACTTTAAAAAAAAAAACAACTTCTGTGTGGGGCAATCAAAACAGGCTGAACTGAGACCCACATGGCAGTCTCTGGATTGCAAGAACCAGTCCACAGTAGCAACAAGAGCAGAGCTAACTCGTCCATACCAGGACCAAGTCCATTCCTCTCTCTAAATATAATCTAATGAATAACAGACTATGTTCTATGCTTGTTTTTAGCCCACAAATAAGTATTGTGAGATAGTGATTTGACTTAAGTCTTAGGGTAATCTTTTTTATTTCTTCAATTGTGATTTGGGTGAAAGTTGACAGAGTAAATTCATTTTCCATACAACAATTCATTCACATTTTGTTTCCTGACATTGACTGCAATCCCCGTAACATAACAGCTCTCTTCCCACTTCTTCCCTGTGGTTATCTTTTCCCTGTGTCCTTCTTTCCTCTGCATTCCTGCCCTCTGAGCTGTCTCCCTGTGCAAATACTGCTCTTCTGGCCTCTAAAATTTTTATAGTTATCACTAATAGACCCTACTCTCAAAAGTTGCGAATTCTATTTCCTGTTAAACCAGGGACCAAACTTTCATTCTTGAGAAATAGCTCCTAACATCTGAGTGGAGGAAACCATGATAGCAAAATCTACATTGAAGCGACTCACCTTGAACTGAAAGGTCAAAGGTTGCCAGCTCACTTTTGATCATTTCTTCACTAGATTTCATTTTGCTTTGAGAATTGGCCAGTAAAAAGTCAAACTTGCTGATTTTGGGCTTTTCACTTTGAAACTCTCCAAAGTCATCTGAGCATTCTTTTGGGGTTTCGTGAGAAGCGCCACTAGAAGCTGGGCTTGGACATGGGGCCTCCTGGCTCCGTTCAGCAGAAGGCAGGTCCTGACTTGTGAAATCTTTATAGTTCCCGCTTTCACAGTCCTTCTGCTCACTAGTTTGAGGAATTCCATCTTTAAAATTGGCAAACGCTGGAAAGGTAGTCTCTGGGAGAGCATCTTCAGCGGCAAAGGTGGTTACCTTGGAGAGAGATGTCATGGTGATGCTTTCAGAACTGCCGAACGAAGTCTCTTGCTTTTGAAGCACTGAGGCTGCTGAGGAGGAGCCACTTCCTGCTGAGAGGACAAACGGAGAGAGTTTTCTGCCCTGAGAGGCATCATCCCTGTCTGACCAGTCATAGCTTGTAAGAGCGCTCACTGCAAAATTGCTACTGTAGGTCCCCAAAGCAGCATATTTTAAGTCCTCTATATCTGAAAGGGAAATGAGACCCCACAATTAGAGACAAGCCCATAATTTAGGCAAAATGCCCTAACCTCTGCAGAAGGAAAATGTCTAGCATATCTAATTGGTTTTATACTATGTGAGAGTTAACACGTAGAGCTTGTAGTTGGGCTATAAAATCTGATCTTAAAAAACCAACATTAGCCTTGTGTTGACATCTATATTTAGTCATGAAGAACCATTTTCTTTGGATATAAAAACTACTGGAAAAAAATCTGGCAATTCATCTACCAATGTATATACAGTTTGATAGATTAGTCATTTACTAACTTGTCTATTATATATTAAAATGTACTTACATATTCTCTGCCTAAAACATGGCTCCTTCCATCCTGTTAGAAAATGTTCCTTTAAAACATGTACATATAAAAAGATATGTACATGACAAATTCATTTAAAAATTATGATTTCTCCAAACTAAAGTGAAAATTAAAAAAAAATAAAGTAAAAATAATGTCTCCTAACTTTTACTCAATGATTAGAAATTTCTATCTCAGGCAAGGCCAAACATGAGTATTTAATCGAGCAATTACTTACCCAGTTGTTATTTTGGTCACTTTGGACATCATATTGCTGTGGCGGAGTGTGAGGAAAGAAAAATCAATCTAATCTACGTCAACCCCTAAGAATTAGAATCAAGGGTCTGGGTCCCATTGGGCTCCCGTTTGTCATTTGACTATGAGTCCTATCTGCCATTAATAAATAAATAAATAAAAACTCAACTCTGGGGCAAAAGACTCATTTTACAAAACATTCTTAATACGTATTTAAGTAATTCGAAGAGGCAGCACAGAACTGAGGAAGGAGTACAGGTTTTTTATTTAGACAGAACTGGGATCAGCTTCCAATTCTGAAACCCACCACCTGTGCACCAGTAGGCAAATTATTTATTATTTCTGAACCTCGCTTTGCTTCTCTGTAAAATGAAAAGACCATGTACTTGGAAGCACTGTGTTTTTACATGATTAAATGTGACTATGTGTAAAAGCTCAGAGCCTGGTGAGCAATACACAACGATTCTTTTGTTTGTTCAGCACAGTTGCCTTTGGTCTCAATTAGGCATTTAGTTGCTGCTTAGGGCCTAAAATGTAATTATTTCAAAGTAAAAGTGAAAAAGTAAACTCATCATTTTAGTGGTGTTACTGGGGAAGGAGTTTCTTGCCCAGTTTCAAGAAGCAGAGCTGCCGTGAATCAGCCTGGCTGGTGTGGAGAAGCTCCTTGCCAGTAGTACAGGCCACTCTGTCAGGCTGACATAGGTTTAGACTTTGACCCATGTTTAGTTTCATTTTAGACATTGTATACAAGGCAAGAAGAGCAATCACAAGACCTCCCTCTGCCAGCCACACCCATGATTTACAAGGAATGGGCTCAAAAGCTTTGTGACCCAGATTTTCCTAACAAAGTCAATAAAGTGAACTGACATTGGATCATTTCTATCTTTCACAGCCGCACTGTATAGCTTATGAGAGTTAAGGGATTCTTAACATTTCCGTCTATCTCCTAACACATACTTTTCTTTAAACACTCTTTGGAAATGGTACCAAATAAATAATAAAATAGCCCCAGATGCACAAAAAAAGCCAACCACTGAAAATAGCTATCATAGGATGATACATTTTTAAATTCTGCAGTGCAAATGGTACCTTTCAAATTTGGCTAATTAAAAAGGTGGTGGTGGGGGGAAGATTCAGGTGAAAAATGTACAAATTGAAAGGAATGGAACAAGCCTCCGGCTGTAGTGGTTTTATTTCCCCACTCTTTAAAGGTATGCCCTGATTCAAAAGAGGTGAAATTCAATCAGAAGGCAGATGGAGTTAGCATCTAGTCTTCAAGGGGTACATTCAGGAGAACGTTTCATAATACAGGTATTTTAGACCCTATCAGAAGGGTGTTTTGGGGCAGCTATATTAGGAACAACTCCCAGAATCTCATCTATTAAGAGGGTAGCAATTTTCCTAGAGACCAAAGATAAATTTAATGAAAAGTTAGCTCTGGTTCATATATCGCAACCAAGTTGCTATGGTAACAAAAAGACCCTTTTGTGCAATTATGCAACAAGATATTTTTTAAAACCAGAAATGACTGTAATATATTCAGATAAAAGGCATTATAAGTCAATAAGGGATTACCTTAGCTGAAGAGTTTTCAAGGATTTTTATAATATATAGGTCTTGGGTTTTTTTTTTTTTTCTTTTTTTTTGGTTTTCACTAAATCTTGTTTTTATTAAAAATGGTATATGTAACATCTTGCCTTTTGGAACAACTCATAAAAACAACCAAATGCAAGAACAATGGAAATACTTTATATTTTTTTTCCAATTTTACTTTTGCTTATTTATTAGCTATTTTAGTATGAGAAAACTAATTTACTGAAGTATCATTAACTTGAACACATAAGCAAGTATTAAAAAACTGACATTATACAAGGATTATAAAACATAAGTTGGTAGCCCTAAACAACACAAAAATGGTAGTATTTCCTAGCATGGTAAAGTTTGTAAACCATTTTCCAAGAAAAATGTGATAAATCAGGTCACTGGGCTAGGTCAAACCAAGAAAATTCCTCATTTCCTGTGTTAACAGTTCAACAGTTTTTAAGCAGTCAAATTATATATATTATCATATAATGGTCTTAAAAATATTAAAGTTTCTGTAAGACCTACAACATAAGTGATAGAAGCCCTTTCTGGAAAAATAATATGGAATAACCTATATTTTCTTTTATAATCACTGAAGTTACTATTGATGGGTTTTCAGTTTGCTAGCTGAATTCTGAAAATTGCAAGAGAAAAAGGAAAAAGGAATGGAGAATGGATGCAATAAAATGAACAGGGACTCGCTACTGTATTTCCAATTCTATTGGCGAACTCTTGGACTGTGCTAGGTTGAACTGCAATTGCACACAGATAATATGACAAATTGTGTGCTTCAATACATGTATTTATGTTCGCAACCAGGAATGTCCTATGACAAAGATCAAAGGAATGAACTATACAATCTGCTTTCCATCATGGATCTCAAATGAGACATGGATTTCTTGCTCATGCTGGCAAGTCACCCCATCAGTCTCTTCCATACCTCTATTCAAATCCCTTTTGAATGGATTCTGTAACCAAAAACAAGGTACTTCTTGGAACAAGGAATGTGAGGACACATTTCCATGGGCAGTTTCTAAAGCTGTAAGCATATGCCCAGAGTTACTGGCTTTTGAAGAAGGGGTTCAGAGAGAGAAGAAAGGTGATAGATGTGCAAATTGCGCTATTCTCAAGTATTTCATGTAGCAATAAAAATATGCACTGGATTCAGGAAGAAATACCTTTTAATTTCCAATACTGATTTAATCCAACCATAAAATATTTATACATTACAGCTTCTCTCCATCCCTGGTCCTATTCTTTCTAAAAACACTCATATTCACTATTAATTATAAAACCTGATCTGACTGCTTCCTATGAGTCTCAAACACCCTGAAAGGTGCTGCTGAAGAAAACAGGAATGAAGTGATCATGTTGTTGTTGTTGTTATGTGCCATCGACTCCTAGTGACCCCTCCTTGGCTTTCCGAGGCAGTATCACTACGGAAGTAGATTGCCCAACCTTCCTTCCGAGGAGTGGCTGGTGGGTTGAACCACCAGCCTTCTGGTTAGCAGTCAAGTGCCTTAAGGCACTACGCTACAGAGCTCCCTAGAAATGATTATAGTTTAAGTCAAACAGGCTAGAAAATGTGGCTGCATAATTGCAGGGTTTTCTCATCCTCATGAGAACCTCCCATTCTTCATTTGTATAAATAAATGGCTGAAAGCTATGCTTTAAATTACGTCCATACTATCTGTAAGCACCTTCAGGTTTGTGTGTGAGTGCTCTAAATTTTAAAAAGCAAAGTAGGAACACTGTGGATTTTTTAAGTTGGAAGAAACTAGAATGCCAAGGAATGGTGTTAGGATACACAGTGGGACTGCCTATGGCCACCACTAGAAAGCTCATCAAATGAGTAAAAGATCGTTATTGCATGGGCATCTTTTGCCAAGAAAGAGGAGACAGTGATACCCAGGAGACTTCCTAAGCATATGATTCTCTCAAGCTGTCAAAGCTATTGGCCAACATTGTGCAAAGCAATTTATCAAAAGTAGTCAACTGAAGGAAAAACACAGATCAAGAAGGAACTCTTTAAAAATAACTTGATTCTTTCAATTAGTCCTAGCGACTGGTACACCATGCGATCTACAGCCTATACAACTATGAGACCAGAACTAGATGCTGCCTGGCTACCACTGTCACCCACTCGGAGGGGGACCTATGTAGGAGATTCTGGATAGAGAGGGAGAACAATGTGGAACAAAACTCAAAATCATTTGGAAAAAAAAAAGGGGGGGGGGACCAGGTTTGCTGGTCTGATAGAGCCTGGTGGAACCCCTGAGACTATGGTCCCTAGCTGCCCTTCAGGTCTGGAATTGAACCCACACCTGTAGCTTCCAGCCAAACAAAAGACAGGCATATGAATTGAACATTTTACCTGAGGTAGATACACTCCTCGGAGAGAATAATCATGGGAGAAAGAAAGGCTGTTTATGCACAGGGAGACAGCTCAGTGGGCAGGAGTGCATGGAGGGATGGACACAGGGAAGAGGTGATTGTTGAAAGGAAGTGGGAGGGGAGCTGTTGCATTGTGGTGAACTGTGGTCAATGTCATGAGACAAAGTGTATGTGAACTGCTGTATGGAAAGTGAATTTGCTCTGTAAATCTTCACCCAAATCACAAAAATAAAATAAATAACTTGATTCTTTCAGATAGTTTAGGAGTTGTCATAGCTTCTTTGATACTGCCAATATCCCCTTATGTTCATTTGCTACTTTTAAAAATCAGCAGGGATTTTAACTTGACCAGTAGAGTAACCAATGGAATCTAAATACATTTATTTTACGTTGTGCCACATCAGCAAATAAAGGTCCCTAAAGCTCTACTCCATCCA